ACTAGAAATATAAAACAATTATCTCTTCACATCCTTGCAAAGATTGCCCTTAAGAATAATTTTAAATTTTCTATTCAAATTTTGTTGGTTTGGTTAAATTTTGATTAATCAAATTAATTGAATTAACCAAATTAATTGTATTTTTTTAAAGAAAATACCATCAATATTTCAAAATAAATATATATAGAAAGAGAGAATAATAAATATCATTTAAAACTGTAAAAATACTAAAATATCAAGGACATTGAGAAATTTTTACAGTCCAAACTCAAATAAAAGAGAAAAATCACCAAAAGAAGCAGGAAGGAAAGGAGACAGAGGATGGAAGCTAGAGCATTGACATAACTAACGTGAATGTTGGTAAAGGATACAGCCATGAAACCCCCTGCAAATACTTCATTTTAGCATGGCAACTGCCACAAAAGTTGGACTTGATGTTGAATTTTGCCAAAAGAGAACTGCATTTCCATATATACATGTCAATCTAATGTCTTATACAGACCAGCATGAGCATTGAAGCAACTCAACTGCCAAATATGAATTATCAGAGTTTGTAAACTCTAGTAACAGGCCTTATCTTATTCTGCATTTCAGGTTTACTGCAAAATCGAAGCTAGAAGGATGGTATTGCAATTTACAACACAAAAGAAGCCAGATTTGTAAACATAATTGTATCTTCATTCCATCACCAAAAGCCATGATAAAGAATGCATAGTCAAATAGCTTACCACTCTCACCGTTAACTAAGACGAAGGTATCCATCTGCTGCTAAACCCAAAACCAAAACTGGATCCTGTGCTCCTGTTGCATGCATTTCCAACTTCATCATTAAGAATGGTGTAGTTTGAACTGCTAATGTTCCTAAAGTAGCAAAATTTATTGCCTTCATACTTGTACTTTTGTTGGGTACTCCCGACTCCATTGACAACCAAGTTGTTCTTAACAACCATGATGCCCTGCCCATTCTGCAAATTTTCGAGAGAACTGACAGGCATTTTGTAACCAGCGCCTCTGACTCCAAACTTCTTTTCATTAAATCCCAGCGTAACATTGGCTATAGATAAATAAGTTCTATTTCCTTGATCCATATTGTTGGAGTATAAGTTGATAAGAAACCTCTTACATGATTTCTTTGCTTTGGAGAAAGTGTATGTCTTCTTGACCTGAACACTGTCATCAAAATGGATCTCCTCATTCACCAGCTGAACATTCCCATTATCTCCCATCACCATTGAGTTACTATAACTAAATTTTGAATGACCTTAGTCATGATCTTGCCATGAGATGACTTAACCCAACCAGTTGAGGATATGGACCTGTTTGCTTTGTCAAGAAAGTTCCATTTAAACCCTTGAAATCTGATGAAGAGGAAATACCAAGAGGTATAACCTGACGCTGAAGAAGCTTCCCTACTGTATATGTGTTCTTTCCATCCAACCAGTGATGCAAATTGGCGTCAATATACCACACATTCAAGGCATTTGTAACGCGGAACTGCAATGTATGTGTTTTACCATCCAACATATTCCCTAAAAATGGAGTAATTTCAATATCATATGAAGGGAGATCAAATGATCCAATGCCAGAAAATTGGTCTCCACAAGAGCGGGTTAATCCCTCCTGTATAAACCACAGTAAAACGCCAAATTGCACCAATCACATTTCCATCAAGAGTAACCCCAACTTCCCTGAAAGGCCCATTTCCTGCTGTGTCAGTAAGATTATTAGCCAAAAGATGGTCATTTGGTGGATTTCCGTACCAAAATTCATCACTCTCATCGAATGACACATACACCTCTAACACGGCCTTAAACACATTTTGAGGAATTTTGATTTCCTTCCCCTCAAGTATCTGTGGAATTCTCAATTTCAAACCACAACCCATCATTCAATGGAAAATTCTGTGAAATGGGTGCAGCTCCTAAGAAGCTCGACCCCATCTAGCCAGATCCCAAAAATCCGATCAAATTGCCTTCCTTTGCAGGTGGCATCCAGTCAAGGACAATTTTAGAGAAATCGTGAGATGGGCAGTGACAAGGTGGGGTGTAGTTTGCTAGAACTGGGGGTTTTCCCATATGTATAGCCGAAATCATGGTGGAGAATGGGATAGACGCAAGGTTGGGTCTTGGGAAGTCTGATGGGTTTGGTGACTTCGAAGTAGGTGGTTGGTGGGGTGTCATTGAGGTGGGATGTAGTGGTGGAGGAAAGGAGAGTTGATTTGAGGAGGGTTTTAGATTTGTGGAGGTTGGCAGTGGCGGAGAGAGGGAGGAGTAGGAGAAAGAGAAAAAGAGGGTGGAAAATGGAAGCCATGGATGCTGGTTGGGATTTCTGGCGGAGGGTATGTTGTGCATTTGCATGGAGTGTGGACATTCCGAGGCAAGTCTAGAGTTGTTGGGAGTTATAGTGCATTTATGGTCTTTCACTCTTTTAGTATTTACCTCCGCCTCAAATTAATTGTTTGTAAAATTTTTTATAGGTAATTGTGAGTAATTTTTTTTTATGTAATATATGACCTGTAATTACATTTTTTTTACTTTGTACTTAATGTTTTGGAATAATTTTGTTTGTAGTTATGTATATAATGTTTTTAATTTAAAATTTGTTATTTATATGAGTTATTATTATTATTTGTATGATTTATTTTACTTATAAGTATTTTTTTAATTTTTTTAATTTTTTTGTATTTAAATTTTCTTTTCTTTTTGAAAATTATTATTATTATATAAATATTAAATATAATAAATAAATATAATTTAACCAGTCATTTAATTAAATTAATTAAAAAAAATAAACAAACAAGTCTAAATTTTATATTTATTACTTCACTTAATATTTATAAATATATTATTTTT